GGGCTCAACAAGAAGAGAAGACTGATGGTGTGCAGGTAGCCTTGCGAGCTTCTCCACGTTGCTCGGTGCGGCTCTATGAGCAGGAAGGCCCATTCTTTCAGGATTGCTGGGCAGGCAGGCTCATGGGCAATCCTCTCTCTCTGGCCCCTGGTCCCTCCCCATGAGTAACCCCCTCCCCCCCACAACAACCAGTTGCACTCATGGCCTGTTTGTGGGCCACCAAGAAGCCTGGTGTCCCAGTGCCACTGCATCTGGAACAATCCCAAGTTTTGCAAAAGTCCCTGCTTCCTGCTCAGAGTCTTCTTATCCTGAGGCTGACCTAGAACTTGAGGTTTCTTAGCAGCTCTGTGCTATGGGAACAGTAGGTAGACAGTCAAAATGCTAGCACAAGTGACTTAAACTTCTTCCTTTTCTCCCAACTTTCCAGATGAACCATTCCCTTTTATTACTCAGAGATTCATAAAAATGCATAAGTGAATGCGGCAGCTTAAATAGTTTTCTTTTAGGGGTTTGGCACTAAATACATTAAATGAATTCCCTCAGTCCTTCGACAAGAAGCCATTAGATATGGACTATTACTTGCATTATCATTACATTAGTGGGTCATTATGAAAAATAAAAGTTCTAATCAGCATGAACATTTATAAAGTGCCATGATGGGGAATATGCCAGGCTGGGCTGTCTCAAACATCGAAACTAACCACAGTGAGTAATGACTTTGAACAAGAAAAAGGTTGAGCACAAAGAATTGCTTTAACAAATCCCACTCAAAGTCATTAGCAATTAAAGGCTTTAGGGAGAAAGAGGAGGTCCACCCCCATCTCTCCAGCTCAGTGAGAGAGTTTTCTGCACTCTCTGTGTTGACCGGTGACAATACTCAACTGTTTTTACATCCTCACCCAGCCTCCAGCTGGAAAAAGAGGACCCTCTAAGGTCCTCATAGGTTCCAGGCAGCCTGGGGACCCCTCCCAGAGGTAGCTAAGGGCTGCAGTAGGAGGTGAGGAGCAGCCGCATGAGCAATGTGGTGACCCCTCCACCTCTGCTTTGATCCTGCCCTTTCCGGCTCATGCATTTAGTTTTTATTGTGATCCTCTTTATGAGTTACTGGCTATCAGGAATGAGCTACATTCACTTCCTCTAGTTTTCCCTTCAAGGGCAAAGCAGGCAGCTACCAACACAACGTGATTTTAAAGTGACCAAGCTACCTACTTGTCATGTTGCAGGGGACTCTCTTGTGTCCCTGGGAGTGTGGGTAACTCACAGGAGCCAGACTCCGGGGCTGGCACCACAGCTGGATCAGGTGGGAAGAGTGACCAGAAATAGGCTGGGTCAGTTGACAAGGGGCAAACCATGCATGCAGTTGAGCCTAGGATCCAGCAGAGACGCTGACCTATCCCTGGGAGCAAGGGCCCCCTCAAGGGTGAGCCCTGCTTTTGGAGGCAAGGAACAAGGTGGGCATGAGACAGGAAGGTCTTCTCTGAAGGCTCAGCCTCAGGGTTCCTTCCATTTTCTTCTGGGATGCTCTCCCTGACTTCCCGGGGGGAAGCAGCCCATTCCCATGGGACCCACTGAGTCCTGCACAGACTCTTACTGAATACATTGAAGTGTCTTATTGCACTTCCTCGTTTCCATCAATTAGACTGTGACCTCTGCTAGGGAAGGGGAGTGTCCACATCAACTCATTCATCCATCCACCTAACCATTCACTCATTCAATCATTAATTGTCTCAACAGATTGACAGCCGACATGTTCCTTTCACGGTGCCAGGTGCTTGCATTCATTGTCTCTGTATATCCAGCACTTGAAACAGAGCTTAGTGCTGAGTAGGTGGTGAATGAATGTTGATAAATAGATGCACAGATGACTGTAGACCTGCTCTGTGAACAGGGCTGCATTTCCAGGCAGCCAAGTTGCTGGAGGGGTGGGAGCAGGTGGTATAAGAGGGAAAGGATGGTGGCATGGGGATGGAAGTCTCAGATTCTGGCCTGACACAAATGTCCCAAATGACCAGAAATGCCTTTCTCACTGGTCCATCCCATTAAATTAAAACTCTTTTATTACCAGTACCATTACTCTTCTGGAATAAGATATTTTCTTCTGTGTGTTGATAATTTTTACTAGGTCATTTTTACCACATTTTAGGTACAACATAATTTCTTTTGAGTTTTCCTTTCCCCCAACTGAGCTTCCTCTGAATTATCTACCTGGTTTATTTAGCAAACCCTCAAGTAGCCTTTGAGAAGGGCAGGGCTCCCCATCTGTCTCCACAGCACTGCCTGCTCCACGAAACCCTCTCAACCTGCTTCCCTGGGTATGCCCTGTTCCCTCTCCTGCTTTGTTTGAGCCATCTTGTCCTCCTGCCTTTAAGTAACAGCCCAACAACGCTTTGCTGAGCTTTTTCTATTTCTATAATATCCTTTTCCTAATAAAAACAACCTGTGTTGCACACTGCATTTTAACTACAGTTAAATTCCTCCTCCCTCCCTTGCCATGTGTTCAGCAACTTTAGGGCATCCCGGTTATTGTAAGTTATTATATGCTTAGTTGAACTTATTAAATTCAATGTTTCCAGTTTTGTTGATTTTCATTTCTGCAATGGATTCCGTGCCCCTTCATATGTATTTTTACAACAAGCTTTCTAAACCAGCGGGAAGCACAGGGAGTTAGGCCTCACCAGAGGGTGGCAGGTAGGCTCAGGGTGTCCTGGGAAAAGTTCTCCCCAGAGTCTGCACTGTGGCTCCAAGCACTTTGTCACCCCATGTCCAAGTCCACCTCACTAACTCCCAGACAGGAGGCAGGCTTCTTGTGGAACAGCGTTTTGAGATGGTAGGCCATCACGCAGGCTGACACTCTCACTCGCGGGCAATGATTTCCACCAGGCAGAACGTTCTGTAACACCATCTGTCCCAAGTGGGTGGGATGTGTCGGAAAGATCGTTCTGCCGGCTCCAGGAATGATATTCTTTGAACCCAAGAAACCCTCCTGTGCTTGGAAGAGGCATTGGAATCTTGCCTGGAACTTGTTAAATTGCAGAAGGCTGAGGAGAGCATGCAGACAAAACTGGAAATGTGTTAGAATTTGCCACCAGTGTCCTCCAGCTGGGGGCTGGACAGCCCGGGGCAGGCTGCTGCTTGAGGACCAGCCTCAGCTGGTGGAGAGCAAAGCTGCATTTCTCACCACCCACCAGTGTCTGCTCAGACAGTTGAGAGAGATTTCGTCTAAGTAGCCCCTTGGGAGTCTACTTACTCCAATGATTCAGCCTTGCTGAAACCATTTGGAGAACTTCTCTTTGAGCATTGCCTTCAGTTACGATCCTTTCAGCAAGTGCTGTACAGGCCCCATGTGTGCTGGGCTGAGTACCTGACTATGCCATTCACTTCTCCCCAAAACCCTATGTCTTTAGAAATCATTGTCTCCCTTTACAGATCAGGCCATATTAGGCTCAAAGATGTTGTGGATTTCCCTGTGGTTCCTCCCACTCCTGCAGGCCAGAGAAGGAGTTTGAAATCAGGGTTCTCTGATGGCATAGATGAACTCTATCCACTCACCCAGGTTTCCTATCTATAGCTATCTGTAGCCAATAGATAAATATTTACTAAGGTGACACCATGTGTTAAAAGCCTGGTTACAGACGTTTAGTAAAGACATGTCCTCTGATCACAGTGTGGGGAACAATCCCTTAGCTAAACTATTCCAAGATGGTAAGACTATCAAGGAATGGATAAGGAGCAGCAGGTATGTGGGTATGAAATGGTCTTTTGGGGGAAATCAGAGGTGTGAACCTCTTTCACAGAAGGTGGGATTTGAAATGACCCTTCAAAGATAACAAGGAGTCATCAAGACCCCAAAGAAAGGGAAGTTGTTTCAGGCAGAGGAAAAATCCCATGCAAAGTTCTCGAGAGAGGAGAATGTGCAGCCTGTTGGGTCCAATGTGACCTGGTTTCCAGACACAAGGTGCACAGGCTGGGTGTGAAAAGGAGCCCAGCCTCACTCATGTCCAGAATGAACAGCACTTTGAGTCTAATCTAGCAGTATGAGCCCTGAAAGCAATCTTTTCTATAAAAGGGGGAAAAGGGGGCATTTTAAGTATTTTTAATATAGTCAGAATAAGTGTGCAAATTCCTGGGGTGACAATTTTTAACCACGCCCCTCATTTGGAGGTCCACTCACATGAACAGGAGTCACATTTTTCTCCACCCCTCATAATTCCCACGTGTCATCAGAAATCACAATAGAAATTCCGTTCTCCATCATTTCCTGTTGACAAACAGGCAATCCTCTAATCTTCGATTTGGCTGAGCTTGATGCCTTTCACGTGACTAGGGAGGCTCTCACAGGCACGTCTCTCTCGAAAGCTCCAGCCCGAGAGGATGATCTCGAAGGCTTCTGTTAATTTTATCTGGCTGGAGCACTGGGGAGCACATTCAGTTCAAAAAGACGTCTATTAAGTTGTCAGTCACGATATCATTTGCCTTAACAGTGTTTAGTATCTACCAAGCGGAGGCTGACAGACAGCACAAAGGCGCTCTGCGAGGCAGACAGCATGCTAATTAGCACGGCACCCTCCACGCACCTCCCCGGTTAGGAAAGCTGGAATCATAACATGTCTGTCTGCACACTTCTTTCAAAGGCTTCAGGCAGGGAACGGTTGGAAGTTTGCTATCAGAGCATCCTAACTTCCTACACAAATGATCAGGCAGTTTTCCTGACTGGCACACGTAGGTGGGCCTGGACACAACCAGCCCAAAAAGGAGCATCCCTCCAAAACTGACAGAATGGGGTGACAGTTCGTTTTATGTGCCAACTTGGCCAGGCGAAGGGGCGCACAGATAGCTGGTAAACCATTATTTCTGCATGTGTCTGTGAGGGTATTTCTGGAGGGAATTAGCAGTTGAATCAGACTGAGTAAAGAGGCTCCACCCTCAAGGATATGGACTGGCGTCATCTGATCTATTGAGGGCCTGAATAGAGCAAAAAGGCAGAAGAAGGTTGAACTCACTGTTTTGTTGGAGTGGGGACAGCCATGCCCTCCTGTCCACAGACATCAGTGTGCTGGTCCGCAGGCCTTTGGACTGACTGAGGCAGAATTATACAACTAGCTTTCCTGGTTCTCCAGATTGCAGGTGGCAGATTGTGGAACTTCTCTCGCTCTTCTCTCTCATATGTGCATGTGGGGCGGGAGAGAGAAGTCTTTTTGGTTCTGTTTCTCTGGAGAACCGTGACGGACACAAATGTGTGTGAACCACAAGTCTCTAGGAAATGCTTTCCATCCAGGACACAGGAAAGCCCAGAAAGGCTTAAACGGAAGTACTGAGAACCACTGCAGCCAGAGAGAAGGAAAGGGACTTCCACAAAAGAAACAGGGCTACCTGGCAGAGATACCTACATGCACCGGTGTGATGATGATGATGGTCATGATGATTATCATCACTGTAACATCAACTGTGGCTTCAAGTCTGTGTTCTATATTCCAGGCACCATGCTGCATGCTTCACACATGCTATCTGATATTCCTAGCAGCCCAACAGCCCTGTTGGGACAAGGATGTTATCACCCCCATGAGACAGATGAGAAAATAGTGCTCTGAGAATTCACTGGTCACAATGATAATACACAGCAGAGGTTCTTCAAGTTGGGTTGCTCTGCCACTTATATTTTAGAGTTTAAAGTTGTCTACAACGTCCATTGCCCTTTCGCATGAATCATCACTTCTGACTTCCTGTGAGGTGGATGGGACAGGTGTTATTATTCTAATTTTACAGCTAAGAAAACTGAGGTGCTTATCACTTTCGATCACAATGGGCCAGCCAAGATCAAGATGCCTCCTCCTTCCTCTCAAGGTGTCCCTCCAGGTCACAAGAGGGCCTAACGGCACTAGACCAGTCATTATTTGAGCAGGAATACCCAAAGACAAAACGACAATCCTCATCACATGAAAAGGAATTTGAAAATAAGAAGAAAAGCGATCATAGAAATCCAGGTGCAGACCCTGGTCACTCATGGCATTTGCTGTAGTTTATAGAAAATCCTGGAGGGTCCCAAGAGAGTCCCAGCATCGGCTACGGGTTTGGATAGGTGGGCTGAGGTCTGCAGAGCTTCTCAGCATTTTCCAAGAACATTGTACTCCCTCACGCTACTCAAGGGGAACCTCTCACTGAGAGGCCCACCCTAGCCTGGGCAGTCAGAACGCTCCTGTGGTCCTCTGAGTCTCATCTCAGCTTGAGGGTCCCACTATGTGTGGCCTTTCTGCACTCAGGCACTTCCTCCCTTGGGTGTCCCTTGTTCTGGGTAGTTACCTCCATTAGTCCTGATGAAATTAACAACCAGCCATGAGCCCTGCCCTCAGCATCCACATAAGGAAGCAACATGGACCAAGTTAGACTTTGCAAGCACACATCTGAATGCCAAGATTTACAGAAGAATGTGTGACCCCCTAGCTTACCTGCCTCCTCATGCAAATCACAAATGATTATATTAGTCTGACAAATGAGACAACCAAGGCCAAGAAGAATGAAGGGAGGTGCTTAATGCTATGAAGTGGGCTTGAGGGCCTGGGGCTCCCGTTTCATTTTATGCCAGTGGAACAGCTCTTCTGTTGTTTTGGTTTCTATATTAATAGAGGGAGACATGGTTGGGAAACTAGTCAGGATGAGACCCCTCTGGGGTAAGCAAAGGTCTTGAAGCAGTGAAACTCTCCCCAGGGAGTCAAGTAAAGGTCTTTTGTGACAGGGTGGGACATAGACACTGGTTCTCATCCTCAGGTAGTATGGATGAGGCAGAGGCTATGGACATCAGCTCCACCTGTCATGCACAGAGGCATGCTATGTGGTGCACTTGCCCAGCAGGACTATATATTGGGTTTCTGGGCAGCAGAAGCTGCTGGAGCCAACTGGCTCAACTTACAGGGTTGTGTAAGTACTCTAACCCAGTGAGCAACCTCAGATCAGTGCAAGATGCTGTTAGCAGCTGTTCTCTGCACTGGCCAGGCCGAGAGGTCTTCTTGCTTGTTATTGCCATTATTCTCCTAAGACAGGCTGGCTTCCTAAAACTCAACCGCAGTGAATTCTGGAATACACAGCTGCAGTCGTGCTTCCTCTGAAACAGCCCCTGTGATGAACCATTCCTGTCACTCCTGCCTGTGCCTTCCTCAGAGTGGTGCCATTACGGTCCCTGGCACCACCCAATTCTGCTGATGGAGTGTCCAAGGACACTGGCCTGGTCAAAGGAAAAAGCAAAGCAGGACTGCACCAGTACAGGTGTAACCCATCCCAGTAGGCATGTCCATCTCAGTAGGTAGGAGGCAGAATTTGGGACAAAGTCCAGGTCCAGGAACTGGGCCTACCAAAGAATTGGAAACCCCACTTCCTCTTAGGCTCACCCTATGACAAAAACCACAATTGAGGCTGAAGTAGAGGCTAGGATGCCTGTTTCCGTGCTCTAATCATGTCCTCTAAGGCCAACAGCGCCTGAGAAGCCTTTCCTGATCTCAGCAGCCCACAGCCTTCTCCACCCTGATTGGCCCTTGGTCACTGGCTAGCTCCCATTGCTATCACTGCGCATAACTTGAGCATCTCTGAGTCTTGATGGAGACCACCTTCCTTGATGGAGACCACAAAAAAGGCTTTAATTAAGTTAAGGAGAGATTTCTTGTCACTCAAAAGTGCCTGAAATGTGGCTGGGAATATGGTAGGAACCCAATAATGGCAGAAAGCACAGTAGTATGTAGAAAGAGGAAGATTTTTTAGTATAGGTGGTCCTGAGTTCAAATCCTGACTTTGCCACTTAAAAGCTATTACCCATAACAAGCTATTACCCATAACATTTAGCAGAAGAGTATGAAACAAAACAAGCTACTCAGCTATATGAGCTCCCTGAAATGGGAGCAGTTGTGCCCACCCAGGTATTTTTTTGGAAATTAAGGGTAAATAGTAAAAGGATCTAGGTTGCCTGGACAGGGGTTCTCAAAGTGTGGTCCCAGGACCATAGGGTCAGTATCATCTAAACACTTGTCAGAAATGCAAATTCTCAGCCTTTCCTCAAATCCACTGAATCAAAAACCCTGGGGATGGCACCCATAACCCTGAGTTTTAACAAGCCCTCTGGGTGATGTTGATGCATCTAAAGTTTGAGAACCTCTAGGTAAGCTCTCAGTAAATGCCAAAATGCCAATGCCCCCTCCCTCCTTATCCAGAGACAAAAGAATGACCTTCATCTGCACTGGGTAAAAAATACAGAGTTGAGGTAAGGACATGGCCAGTGGCCAGACAAGTCATGACACAACTATGATCATCTGGGACAAGTCATTTGGCAAAGGAGGAGAGTGTGGTTCTACTGAGCTGAAAATACATACGTCCAACTCAATCTAGTCCAATAAGAATCTGAGTGGTTGCTGTTAACACAGAGTAATGAATTCACCTTAAAAGCAAGCACTCAATACACAGTGATAGAGTCGGAGCTAATTAAATATGGGCTGCCACGTGTATTTCTTCAGATCTGCTTTCCCGTAAGACAGTGGTTTTCAACACTGGCTGCACATTAGAACCACCTGGGGAGCTGTGAAAACTCCAGGTACCCAAGCCGCACCCCAGAAAAACCACATCAGCACCTCAGTAGAGGGGATGAGCCTAAGGCATGGATAGTTTTCAGAGCTCTCCAGGTGATGCCAGTGTGCAGCCCAGGGCTGTGAACTACTGAGCCAGGTGGCTCGGCCTGCAAGGCAGGGGACCCACAGGCCGGCAGGAATGGAGCCCAGACCCTGGTCTTCATGCCACAGACCCCACCATTCTCACTGCAGGTGGAAAGCCGGCTTGTGGATGAGAAGACATCACAAAAACCTTTAGAGAAAGAAAGGGCAAATGTTATGATTTCAGTTTTATGGATTAAAAATGCAGCATTGCTGCCACCTGAGATCCCAATATCTTGCCTGAGCTGCAGGGTGGCCAGGAGGTGAGCTGAGACTTGACCCAGGTCCTGGTCCTCTACAATACAAGCTCACTCTACTGTGACATGCTCTCTCTCCCTTCTGCTTAGAAATCTGCCAAGTGCTGTGTACCTACTATGTGGCAGCCACTTCTCATCCTTAGTGACCAGGCTGCCAGCGAGGTGTAATTACATTTTACAAAAAAAAAAAAAAAAAAAAAAAAACAAAATTCAGGTACACAGAAGTAATTAACTTGCCCAATATCACATTAATAGTAAATGATGGAGCTGGAGTTGGACCTGGATCTTTTTTTAGTCCTAAATACAGTGTCGTCTCCACTAAACCATACCACCTTTCTTGGAGAGAGGACATGAGAAAATGTCAGCACAGACTCTTAAAATGGACCTCAACTTGCAGCCATCACAACAAAGTATCTCAAAACCAAAAGAGACACATCTTCTACTACTTCTAATTTTGCATATGCCTCTATCTTTTCTGCAAGGCCTGGCTGAGCCAGCAGCAGAGGAGGCCATGCTGACTTTGGTGAGAGTAGGGGCAGCCCAGGCATGGGAAATGGCTCAAAGCAGAAGCCATTCAGAGGGAGTGTCCCCATGCTTGCCGAAGCACCAAGCTCCAGGATAAGGTGTTGACATGGCTTCTAATTCCTGGTAAATTTGTCCTTCATATTTGAACTTCAGAGTGAGGTTCCCATGGCTACCTGGCTTCCCTCAGCCCTGATCTCAACACACCTGCCCAGCTGTGCTGCCTCAGGGAACCTGGAATGTGGACCTATATCAAGTGGCCTCTGACCCCAGAAGGGTGCTGCTCCCCAAGCACTGGCCTGCTGGCCGGATGGGCTCCAACCTTGCCAGGGCTGGTCCAGCAAGTAAAATCCACACAGGTGGATGAATATAGCAAAGTATCCACAGAAAGCAGTGTTGTGGGGAAACAAAGCTTGTTTCCTTTTTGGCCTGTCCCTGTCCCTTTATGCAAAGCATTCTGTCCTCCTTTCAAGCACATGTATCGCAGGAGAAATCTGCTATCTGCCATTTGGGGTATTCTCAATATTCACAGCCCAAGCTCTCCTGTATTGTTATATTTTTGTTCCTGTGGAGAGATGTCCGATATCAGAATATTGGGCAAGGGTAAATAATTTAGGGGAAGGGGAGCTCCGGACTAGGGGACTTCTTACTGAAGAGCCCCCTCCCTTGCTGTACTGGCCACCGAGAGTCTGCGTGTGCCTATATGTATGTCATATGTTTTTGTGCTTGTCACTCTTTCCTTAGGGCTTCTGCTAAACAAGCAAGCAAGCCAACAAAATACCTATTGTAATAGAGAAGACAAAAGGATTGTAATTGCACAGACCTGGATTTAAATTCCAATCCTAACGCAGCTTAACCCTGCTCAACTCACACAATCATTCTGACATTGCTTCTTCACCTGAAGACAGGGGAGTAGGAATGCAGTGTCTGCTCTACTGGTGTCTGCCTCGTGGGGCTGGGTTAGAATTCAGTGAGGAAAAACTGAGGGAGTGCTCACTCAGCAAAGCATTCTGTAGATATCAGAATAGTCATGATAACAGTTACTATTATTATATCTTTTTGTGATTTGTAAGTATGTATGCGATACACAATCAAATCACATCATTACTAACCCCAACACATTACAATCTCTGCCATCAAGAGCTTGTGGTCTAGTAGAAAGGCATTCATACCAGAGGATGCTAAGTAATGGGTGCTAAGCTGGAGGGAAGAAACCTCACAGCAAGAACTGCAGGTTCCAGAGGAGAGGGACCTAATCTAGTTTGTTGTCCAAGAAGGCTTCATGGAGGAAGGGATCCTTGAGCTATGCCCAGAAGGATGTATACAAATGAAGCAGGTTGGTGAGAACTTTCCAGGCAAGAAACAGTATGTGTGATGGAACAGAGCAAAGATACCATGGATACTATATCCAAACAAATATTCTATATTTGGAACTACAGTAATGTGATATTTGCAAAAGTCGTCAGCTCCTTGCCTAGGTGATTCTATTTCACTGGGCTCCTGAGCCCTGCTGGGGCTGGGACAGGAGGAAGATGGAATTCTCTTCACTCCTAATTACAGAAGCATCTCTCCTCAGTGATTCTCTCTTCATAATAAATTAATTGGTGTCTCCAGTATCAAGCCCATGTGCTGGCACATGGTTGGTTGTTAATAAATATATCTTCCAGCTCCAATGTAACCTAGAGGCAGCAGGCTACAATTATGATAGAAATAACCCTAGGGTTTCAAACAGTCCCACACATTTATAGTCATTTCATTTATAAACTGACTTCAGTTATCTCTTCAGTGATATGTCATACTTTCTGACACCCGTTCTCCATAGTCAGACATAAAGTTAAACTCAGCTATCCCTGCTCCATCCATCCACAACACCCCTCCTCAAAGCCTAGAGTAAGAAGAGCTGTCATTTATTGGCCGGCCACCTGCTACCTGCCAGGACTGTGCTCAGGGGATTCCTTGGGCTTTCCCATCCATTTCTCACAACTATGAAGAGAAGTTTAAAATCACCCTGTTTTACAGATGAAGAAGCTAAAGCTCAGAGAGACCGTGTGATTTTTCCAAAGTCACACAGATGGTTAACAAATACAGCATCAAGATTCCAGCTCATGTACATTTGTCCCTAAAATCTGTGTTCCTTGCTACACTTTGGGTCAAACTTCCACCTGGGTTAAAACCAAGAGACATGACTGCAGACCAGATAATAATAAAAACAGTAGCAACAAAAATAGCTACTATAATATCGAGTGCCATGCCTCTCACTGACAAGGCACAGTAATAATTATCATCATCTTAATCCATACAATTCCTATGAGCTAAATACCATTCTCACCATTTTACAAATATGGATCTTGAAGCTCAGAAGGTTTAAGTAACTTTCGCTAGGATTGTCTAATCCCAAAGCTTGTCCTCTTACCACAATACCACATTAGCGCCAACTGCGAATACAGCGAAAAGCAAGAGGAAGATTTGCCATTTGTCTTCAGTAGGAATCCAAGACCCTGTTGGGGCATGATGACTAAGTGTGATATATATTTTTAATTATTAGAGCACTGCTATCTATGCAGGTCATTTCAGGGACACTCGGCTGACAGGCATAATGAGCCTCACTCTATTTAATAAGCTCTGAGGGAACTGCTCACTAAGAATGAAAGTGACCCTCACTCTGCCTTCCTGGATCTGAAACCTTAAAATCTTCTTAAGTCTAAGATAAATAATGACTGACTCATATTAATGCTCAAGATAGAGATCTAAATCTCCTAAGCATATATCTGCATTCACTAGTGCTTTTAAGACAAACAACAGAAATATAACTTAGTTTGGGGTTATAAAATTTTAGAGATTAGAGGTTAAGCCAGATTTCTGAAATGGAGGGGCTCCAGGCAGGAAGAGACTCACACAACAAAGGCACCCTGCAAAAAAATATGGTTGAGCCATATACTCCAACCTCAGTGTCTTAAAATATTTCCACCAGATTGATGTCTCCATTTGCCAAAAAACGCCAAATGTTATTGTTCTACGCAGCTGTGTATGCTCTGCTGTGGTTCTATTCTCAGGATATGATAAGGCAGAGAGCCACAGGCTGTCCCTATGGCTCTGCAATATCTTCTCTCACTTCCTCCCTTCAGCTGCTTTTCCTTGATGTTCCTAGAAGTGTAGGTGCTTGTGGATTTCTTCTATCCATACCAGTTTGTTTGCAGAGACTGTGGAAATATAAACAGAGCAGAAATGACACATTGGGTCAACCTCATTCTTCGAGGATGGACAAAGATTACACTGAGGAAAAGTGTGATGGAAACTTGCCAGGGTTTCCTGAAGTGTAGGCCACAAGCGAGGGATGGGGTGCTAGTAGGAACATCAAAAGGGTTCCAGAATCAATAAGTTTGGGAAACACTAAACGAAACAAAATTAAACAGGTATCTTTCCCAAGATCTCAAAGTCTTTGACGTGCAAATGTGTATTGCATAATTCTATGAGATGACTATTTTACCCAGCATATCTCCAGTATATCTTACTCTTTTGAGAGGCACCACTCTCAACTGTTTTAATGCAGAACACACTCTTGAAAATACTATCCAAACCTTTCTTGAACCCGTTTTTGTTTGCAAAGTGAACAACACTCTGGGGCAAGGAATTCTATGTCCTCTATATTCTAAAATGTTCTTGTATTCACCTTCTAACTTTCTTTTTACAAAACAGCTGGGGAAATTCCTCACAAGCCATCATCTAGGGGGTCGCTGCATGTATTTTGGAGTTTTTGATGAATACGATGTTCCCTGATGGATTAGGGGAATGACAGCTCATGTATCTTGGGCACTAAGTGACAGCTGCTCCCTCCGCCCAATCCTGCTTCCCCCAGCCCCGCTCCACACTGATGATCAGCATTGCACAATGCGTTGCCTGGTGGCCCCTGTGCCATGCCGGGAGAAATCTGTAATGAGGACGCTCAGCAAGTGTCAAGTTATCTTCTCCTAAGCTGATTTCCAAGTGATAATCACCTCTTCCCAAAGAGGCTTGATTAAAAACCCAAACTTTCTCGGCTTTGGCACAGGCTGTGTTTCTATGGAAACATTATTTTATAAGCAATGTCTTAATTTAGTTCTCTAGATCACTTGGGTGGCCTTAAGAGCCCTGCACATGGTTACTCTTCCCAAGAAGCCAGTTGCATAGGGTGGGGGCTGGGCACTAGTCCCGATCCTAGACAAGAGCCCCCCTGTCTGATGTCAGCTGGGGCACAGAGAGTCGGCCAAGAAGGAGATGAACAGACTTGGGCATCAGAGAGCTCTGCAACTCCAGTAGAAAGATTTCTTCTCTGTCCAGAAGGGAAATACCACCTCATAATATGAGTATATAAGTTAAGGAAGGAGGAGATAAAGCCATCTTCAGTGCCTACTACTATATGATAAATCCATAAATGAGGAAATGGAGAAGGTACATCCTGGAGATCCCACAAGTAAGTGATGGAGTTGGGACTTCAAGCCAGGTGAGAGTTAGCTCTAATTTCAAGTCAGTTGCTCATTTGACTCTAACTACAGCCAGTTACCCAAGGACCATGGATGGGAGGGAGCAGAAACTCCACCTAAGCTTTGACCCACCCTCAAGGTAAAAATTTGCAGCCAGTGTGTCCGATCACCTACAA